GGCTTAAACAGGCCCTCAGGTAAAGGACTCCTTTACATCTGACTTTAAAAAGAGAGAATCTTCCACAGTTCCCAGACTAAGCACCATGACACAGAGACTTCTGAGTCATTTTAATATCATCAGCCTAGAACTTTAGGTGAGCCCCGAGGAAAACTGATTATTTTAGGGAATGTGTACATGGAAAAGGACTTGCTGGCAGAAGACCAACTCCTGGTGTTACATAGAGTTCAATCATCAACTAAAAGGAAATAGTAAAAGGCTTCAAAAAGACACTTGGGTAAAAATACAAGCATCCCTTCTACCCAACGTAGAGAAGGCAAAACTCAGGTTTATCCCCGGTAAAAAATATTCTGGTTTACACCTAAATGGTTTCTGAAAATCAACAGTTTTAAAAATGGCACTCAACAAATTTAGGTACATCTAAAAGTACACATCCAAGCAGCCAAATGGAAGGGAAGAGTATTTGGAGGCGACAGTCATCTTCTTGGTAAGAGAAAGTTCAACTGGTGGAGAGAAGAGAAACAATCCAGAGACTTGATCATCATGATGCTCTTCGTCTAATTCCTCCGCTGTCTATCTATGCAAGAATCAAGGCTTCGAAAAACGAAAAGCATCTCCTCTTTGAAAAAAAAAAAAAAAAAGCTGTTGACCACTGTCTCAAAGATTACCAAATATGACTGGATGGGGGCTTCTTTTATAATATCTTTAGGGAGTAGGGGAGAATACTTTGTTGTGGCACATCCAAAAATGAAAGTACTCCAAAAATCTCACCAGAGTTTCAATTTTCATTGCGTGAAGGAAGAGCACCCTTAAGCCACTTGTTTTTCTAAGACGCCTTCTTCTATTGACCACCATTTGGGGCGTGGGGATAAAAAGTCCTTATAAGTCATCTGCTTTCACATGTTCTAATGTTGTGAGAAATGACCATGCAATATGCACAACAAACCACCAAAGATTTGACACAGGTGAACACAGTTGAGCGTTATCAACTGGTAATAAAGTTAACTGAACCTATATATCAAGATCTGCAGTTATTATTGTGTTACATGATAGTTGCCTGTAATGTGTATAACTTTATAAAGTCACACACTTCTAGGATTTAGTCATTTGGCGTGAGGGTAAGAGGTGTGGGGAAACAAATTAGATGGTTGTTCTGGTCCATCAGAAGGCATCAAACTGATTCCAAACCCAGGGAACCTAGGAGAGTGGCCCAAAACCTGAGAGTTGGGCCCACCACTTTGTTTCCCTTTTTTTCCTTGTAGGGCCAGTTACTGGGTAAGAAACTATATATTCCAAATAGAGTGTGGAGTTGCTGGCTACCTTCTGTTTGCTCACTAGATCCCCACTTTCTCCCCTTCCCCATCCTCTTCTCTGCTGCTGGACTGTATCAACAAGCTGCTTTGTCCTCTGAGAGGACAGTGGAGTGAGGGTATGTATTCCCCTGGCTTCTTCAGGCCTAAGAATGGGATGGTTCCCCAGGATTCCTAGCCCGAGGGTTCTGTACCATCTCTTAATCCTGTCCACATTTCTGTAAATAGTCCTTTCATTAAACTCTCTATAATCTTCAAGTTTGAGTTTGCCTTCTGTTTCTTGTCAGGACCTAACTGAAAAAGGGGATTTATTTAGGCTTAAGCAATGGGCATGGGCAAATACATACATGATGAGATTAAAGATAAATAGCTGAAATGGATATCTTGATCAGGGCTTAAAAGCTGTATCTCTTACCTCCAGTCCAGTATGCAGCAAATAGGAGAAGTCTCCTAAAAGGTCAATACTGTAGTGGAAACTAAGCTTGAAGTTACTCTACTTCAAACGCTACCTTCAAAAAAACCCAATCATTACCAATCATTCCTTTTCATGTGATCAAGCAAACCACTGGGTTAAAGATGGTGGGATGCAATTATTACAAATACACAGGCATTGAATTAAAGATAATACACCTGTATGGGATAAACAGACTAAGGTTTAAAAGATTGGCTCTTTTGTCTCCAGTCCTTTGTAATGAAGGCTCTCTGCCACCCTTTGGACCGGTTAGCTCCCATTCATTCCTTAAGGCTTCAGCTTAGAAATCAGTTTCTCAAAGCCAAATACCTGGTTGGTGATGAAGCCAGGACTTAAATCCAGGTCTTCTAACTTGGAATTCTCTATTAAATAGTGCTTGTATTTACATACATACAGTGATGCCATTACCACTGAGCGACCCTACCCTGTTGCAACTTTATGCCAATTGTGGGCAAGATGCTCTTTGCTTTTTCTTATTAAGATTAAGCTTCATAGGACTTATTTTTATGAACTTTCTTCCTGGAATGCACAACAGTCTGATGCATATCCTTTTCAAACCACTGAGAATATTACTTATAAGGTAATCTCTAATCATAAAAGCATCAGGTTTTTGTCCAGTTCTAAATTTCTCATGACAGAATATACTGGAGCTAACTGCAGCAGTCTTCCTTCTGCATGAAATGCTGACATATTATTGAAGCACTAACGTTTTCTTTCTAGAAATTGGAAAAAATTTATTTACTGTCCCTTTTGAAAAGTGTCTTAGTAGGGTCTCATGAAGTTGACTTTTAAACCAACTCTTTAAATTTAATTTCATAAATATCAAATTCTATCTGAAAAATGGTTAATGTCAAACAAAGCAAGATCAATTGTGAAATATTAGGTAACTTGAAAAGTGCCAGGTGAGGACAAAAGATCTGTGATTACAATGTCAAAAGCTTGGTGAATAATTGCCTGAATTTGATTGTCTGCATAAATTTCCATTCCCTAAAGGTTCTACCTTTCTGTAGTGCTAAGCTTACCACAAAAGTAATTTTTATGAATGTTTCAGATTCAGAGGAATTAACCTTGTCGAAAATGCTTCTTTCAATGCTGAAAATGCATTCTTTCATAATTAGAATCAAGAAATGATTTCTAACTTGATACTATTAATGAAACCCAGATTAAAAACATTTTTGTTACTTACAGCTCTATTTTCTGAGATTTCCTGGTTTCTGACTAGGTAACCTGTACTTAGAAGAAGCAATCTTCCTATGCATTTGCTAACTCCTCACGGGATGGGTATTCTCTTCATTGCTGCATTCCACATGTAAGTGAAATTAAGATCCCACTCCTCTAATATATTTTTGCTAGTTATAATCAGTAGGTAATATAAAAAAGGAAGGTAATTATTCTTGAAGAGCCACATGACCTAGAAATAGGATATATAAAGTATAAAACATATTATTATTAAGCACACAAAGTAATCACTGGAAAAGACTGTGAGGCTACTGTTAAAATGTTAAAGAGGTTATCAGTGTGATATGACCATGGGTGATGGCATTCTCTTTATTTTCCAAATGCTCTTCAATGAACATATAGTATTATTAATAAAAAAAAAAGAGAAAGCATTCACAACTCTTTATAATATAAAGTAGGAATCAGAACATGAAATGATGTGCTATGATTATAACCTTGTGAAGGTATACATACAGTCATGGGCAAAAATAAAAGTAACACAGAAAAGAGAAAACAGTTGATTTGTGGATGTTATGAATGATGGATGTTTTTTCTCTTTGTTAGTGCCAGAATGTTGTTTGGGGAGAGAAAAGGAGGGGTTATATAAAAGGAGTAAGATAATGCTAAAGCCAGTTCCTCAGGAGAACTGGAAGGCAGGACATTGAGAGTGACAGACAACAAGATGGGCCTGAGCCCATGGTACATGCATTATCATATGACCCAAGAAAACTATTCCACTGACTGTGGTTTAGTATCTTTTTCTTGTCTTTTGTGGGAGCATGAACAGGAAGGCTTAACCAATAGGGATATGTAAATGAGAAGACGTGCTGAAGAATAGGTTACTGAAGCCAATTTTTTTTCTACTCTTGTTAGTGGATGTATCAAGCAGGCAAACATTGAAAATAGGGACAGTCTGGCCCGCTTTTGCCACTAACCAGATATCCTGTAGGAGGTGTGGGAAAGGAAGTTGTGGGGACATGACACAGAACACCTGAAGTCTACAGCTCTAGAGATTCATTATGGCCAAATACAATGTAGAGCTATCTAGAAATCCTTTGGATAGAAGTCATTTTGGTTAGCCAAGTTTTTCTAATGTCTAGAGGTCTTTTAAAGTTTTTTTTTAAACCACTTAAGAGGGGCGCCTGGGTGGCTCATTCTGTTAAGCATCTGTCTTCGGCTCAGGTCATGATCCCAGGGTCCTGGGATGGCGTCCTGCATCAGGCTCCCTGCTCAGCAGGGAGTCTGCTTCTCCCTCTCCCTCTACTCCTCCCCCACCTTGTGCTCTCTCCCTCAAATAAATAAATAAAATCTCTGAGAAAAAAATAAAACCACTTAAGAAAGAAATATTTCCAAAATTTATCTTTTTAGAAGGAGACAATACAATTTATTTAACCTCTCTCTTAATGCTCCAGGGTTATCATTAACATATATTGTTTACTGTGTCATTCAGAGTCCGTTGAGGAATTGGGGTGCCTGGGTGGCTCAGTCATTAAGCGTCTGCCTTCTGCTCAGGTCATGATCCCAGAGTCCTGGGATCGAGCCCCGCATCGGGCTCCCTGCTCAGCAGGAAGCCTGCTTCTTCCTCTCCCACTCGCCCTGCCTGTGTTCCCGCTCTCCTCTCTGTCAAATAAACAAATAAAATCTTAAAAAAAAAAAAAAAAAGAATCTGTTGAGGAATTAATGGTTCTTTTCTTTATATTTTTTGTTTAGGATGACTTGATTTTTTTTTGGTAGTTTGTTTTTTGCACTTTTTGTTTTTATACTTAAGGAACAGGTTCTTACTGCGAGGGCTCACAGGGCTATATTATGCATACAACACAGGATTTTTAGTACTCAGACTTTGCTATATCAGCTTGTCTTATGTCCTAGTTCTCATCTGTAGTTCACACAGATGCAGCTGCTAGCCAGCTGAGATCCGGCTAAGAGAGGGGTCACTAGATACAAGGACTTGATGACTGTTTCCCAGTATAATGTCACTATTTCATTTTTCGCCGAGTTACCTTTGGTCATCAGCACCATTTTGACTGCTGTTCAGGACAATTCTCCAAAGATCCGAGGATACCAGTTTCTTCTGGTCACTCACAAGATTGATATCCGGCAACTGCAGTTCACACACTTTGCTTTCAGACAGACTGAATTCTTGAAATGCAACAAAAACCTTCTGGAGTTCATCCCAGTATTCCAAACTACACGGAATCTATATTAAAATAAGGAAGATTTTAGAAGTTGCAAATAGAAACTATGATACAGTTCTATATTTGTTGAAATGCAAATTAAACCATAGAAGTTATAACATGAATAAGACTTTTAAAAAGGGATAAGTCTGTAGAAGACAGTTTAGAATTTCTTTTCATAGTTATATTCACCCTGTTTACCTACCTTTTTTTATTATTATATTATGTTAATCACCATACATTACATCATTAGTTTTTGATGTAGTGTTCCATGATTCATTGTTTGCATATAACACCCAGTGCTCCATGCAGGACGTGCCCTCTTTAATACCCATCAGCAGGCTAACCTATCCCCCCACCGTCCTCCCCTCTAGCCTACTTTATTTTAAAAGACCCATTCAAGAATAATATGTGAAAACAGCCAAGAAAGTTTTTAAATAAAAGAGAAAAAAGGAGGAACAAATTCTACCAGGTGTTAAGTGTATTATAAGGCTATGGCAGTTAAAAGATAAGGTTTGAGTAGTAGCCTACAAATAGATTAAAAGAAATAGAATAAAAAATAGTATAAGATATAAGTACAGATAAGTTTTAGTTTGTAAGGAAGATACCATTTCAAACAAGTAGGGAGAGACAGGAAATGTGGTTGCAAGAACTGTCTAGCCATTTGGTAAAACCAAAATGGGTCCCTACATCATTCCTACATGAAAGTAGATTCCAAAAGGATCAAAATGTTAGAGGCCCAAACTGAAAGCATAAGAGAAAAAAAATCGGTTAACATCTTTATCATAATAGGGCAGCTTTTTATAAGTATGGCATGAAACCCACTGAAGAAAAAAACCCCCACAAAACTACAGTGGATAAAATCAAATTAAAAAAAAAAAGGCAAACTAGGGTAGGATAAGTGATATTCAATGATAGATCCAGGAATAATTGTTGTGGTAGCAGAGAGTGCTTACAAATCAATGAGAAAATGATAAATAAGCATACAGAAAAATAAGAAAAGGAAGATGTTGGAAAAGGCAATTAGCCATGGGCCCTGAACTTCCCTGCATGTTACTGCTAGGTATGAACAGGATGCAAGGCCCTGAAAGCTGTTAACTGGGGCTAGTTCTTAGGTTGTGTTTACAGAGAACAACCTTGAGGGATGTGGGAAAGTCTCTCTCCAGGACAAAGAGCAGACTCACTCTAAAGGGGGTGGATTTGACAAGCTCCATGCTCCTTGGCTGTGCCACATACCTACTGCATGCATACCATCTCCCTGAGGGCCCTTCTGCATTGCCCGCGTGGGACCTGGGGGCAAGAGGAACCAATGCAAACATGGTGCTCATGTTACTTGCGCCCGGAGTAATAGTGTTCTTTGTTTCTGACCCATGAGTCTTATGTCCTCTGCCAGAAGCCACGAAACACTAGCAGGCTGATTCATTAGCTTGCATATGGTAAATTCGCAGACTCTGACAGTAATTAGTTCACAGAAAAACAAAAGTAACTGGCCAGTAAGCATGAAAAGATACTCAACTTCACTAATACTTAAATTCAAATTTAAGTTAATAACATAATATTTTTAATTTATTACTCTGGCAGTTTTAAGAACTGACAGTTCCAATTTCTGCACAGGTGTGGTTAGATTAAGCATTTCCACCCAATATTTTTGGAGGGTAATTTGGCAATATCTATTAAATGCTTGGAAGTATATGCCTAGGAATCTATTTACAGAGATTCCAATGCAAGTGTGTATTTATTTCAGCACTGGGTGTATTAGTAAGAAATTAGAAATGACTCAAATATCCATTAATAGGGGATTAAATATCACAGGCAGATCTATAGAATGGATTACTATACAACCATTAAAACGAATAAGGAATATCTATATATACGAACACAAAAGGCATCCAAGATATATCACTAAATTAAAAAAAAAAAAGCTTTAAAATAGAGCATGTGAGTTAATTCCATTTGTCTTAAAAAAAAAAAAAGGACTGGGCTCAGGTGTGCCTTTTCTTTCGGAAGCATTCCCTAATTACCATCCTCAGAGCTGGTCGCTGCCTCCTTTGTGTCACTTCTATATCTAACACACTCCTCTATCATAAAACTCATTACACTTTGCAAGTCCCTATTTACATGTTTGTCTCCTTTAGTCAACTCTGAGATCCTTGATGCAAAAATGACACATTATTTAAAACAATTTTCTTAGCATCGAACAGTTTTTGGGACATAAGGGATTTTTTTTTTTTTAAGATTTTATTTATTTATTTGACAGAGAGAGAGAGAGAGACAGAGAGAGAGCAGGAACACAAGCAGGGGGAGTGGGAGAGGGAGAAGCAGGCTTCCCGCTGAGCAGGGAGCCCGACGCTGGGTTCAATCCCAGGACCCTGGGATCATGACCTGAGCCGAAGGCAGACGCTTAACGACTGAGCCACCCAGACACCCCAGGAGGGGGAGCCCGACTCGGGGGGGCCCTACGCGGGGAGCCCTATGCTGGGCTCTATCCCAGGACCCTGGGATCATGACCTGAGCCAAAGGCAGACGCTTAATGACTGAGCCACCCAGGCACCCTGGGACATAAAGGATCTTAACAGAAGATTCCTGAATGAATAGATTTCTCCTTAACCTTTCTTTTCTAAATAAGTGACTCCTAATCTTTCAATGGGATAAATTTTACCTCTCCACCCATAACAGTTTCTTTTCTTTAAAGAGGGATTTGAGCATCCGTGTATGGAGAGATGATTACTGGGAAAAACGGGAACAAAATGGATATGCGTAAGAGGCTGACGGGGATGAAATAGAAGGGTATGTTCTGTTTAGTGATGAGTACAAGTAACACATTCATAGTAATCCACTTTTACCTACCATTTCTTGAAATTCGCTCCCTTCTTGCTTTCCATGATATACTTCTTTCTAACTTTACCCTCTCTGGGTCTTTGTTCCTATATTCTCTCTTAGCCTAAAGCACCTGTACACCCCTTCATTTCTCATTGTCTCATATTTAAATCCTTCCCATCTATCAAGGTCCAAATGAAATACCACCTTTCTTTGAGCCTTTTCACCTCCCCAGATGGAGAAATGCTCTCCTTTTTCTGAACTCCAGCAGTTTTTTAAAAGGGAATCTGTTTCATAGCTCTTATCACTGTATACCTCATGTTATAGTTATTTCTATACATGACATCTTCCCCGGTAGGCACATTCCTTGAGGGAATGATTTCCATTTGGCTAAGCTTTGGATTTTCATAGCACCTGGCAAAGTGTATATAGTGAATGTTCAAAAAGAAAGTTGCTGAATGAATGAATAATTCATGAATGAATGAATGAATGAATATACACATCCTGGGTGATTCAGTCCATCTCTGGCACATTAAAAATTCTCCACAAAGAAGTACAGAAGATAAAAGCATGAACTTTGGAGTCAGACCTAATGGGATTCAATTCCTAGCTCCATTAGCTATGAGTTCTTGGGCAAATTAATTTCTCCAACATCAGTTTCTTTACTTCTAAAAAGGAGATAGTAACAGAACAATCTCAGGAATTGTGAGAATCAAAAAAGACAAAGCATCTCATATAATAGCACATAGTAAAAGCTTAAAAAATGTTAGCCATGTTACTGATTGGCTGTATGAGTTCTAGTAATTTGGGGGTGGAGTCTTCTGGGTTTTCCACATAAAGTATCATGTCATTTGTGAAAAGAGAGAGTTTGACTTCTTTGCTAATTTGAATACCTTTTATTTCTTTTTGTTGTCTGATTGCTGTTGCTAGGACTTCTAGTACTATGTTGAACAACAGTGGCGAGAGTGGGCATCCTTGACGTGTTCCTGATCTTAAGGGAAAGGCTCTCAGCTTTTCCCCACTGAGGATGATATTCGCTGTGGGTTTTTCATAGATAGATTTTATGAACTTGAGGAATGTTCCCTCTATCCCTATACTCTGAAGATTTTTAATCAGGAAAGGATGCTGTATTTTGTCAAATGCTTTTTCTGCATCAATTGAGAGGACCATATGGTTCTTCTCCCTCCTCTTATTAATGTGTTCTATCACACTGATTGATTGGCAAATGTTGAACCACCCTTGCATCCCGGGGATAAATCCCACTTGGTTGTGGTGGATGATCCTTTTAATGTATCGTTGGATCCTATTAGCTAGGATTTTGTTGAGGATTTTGGAATCCATATTCATCAGGGATATCCGTCTGAAATTCTCCTTTTATACGGGGTCTTTGCCTGGTTTGGGGATTAAGGTAATGCTGGCCTCACAGAATGAGTCTGGAAGCTTTCCTTCTGTTTCTATTTTTTGAAACAGCTTCAGGAGAATAGGTATTATTTTGTCTTTGGTAGAATTCCCCAGGGAATCCGTCAGGCCCTGGACTCTTGTTTTTTGGGAGGTTTCTGATCACTGCTTCAATCTCGTTACTGGTTTTTGGCCTATTCAGGTTGTCAATTTCTGCACTAGCCAAACTGTGGAAAGAGCCGAGATGCCCTTCAACAGATGAATGGATAAAGAAGATGTGGTCCATATATACAATGGAATATTACTCAGCCATCAGAAAGGATGAATACCCAACTTTTACATCAACATGGATGGGACTGGAGGAGATTATGCTGAGTGAAATAAGTCAAGCAGAGATAGTCAATTATCATATGGTTTCACTTATTTGTGGAACATAAGGAATAGCATAGAGGACATTAGGAGAAGGAAGGGAAAAAATGAAGGGGGTGGGGATCGCAGGGAGAGATGAACCATGAGAGACTATGGACTCTGAGAAACAAACTGAGGGTTTTAGAGGGGAGGGGGGTGGGGGGTTCATTAGCCCGGTGATGGGTATTAAGGAGGGCACGTACTGTATGGAGCACTGGGTGTTATATGAAAACAATGAATCGTGGATCACTACATCAAAACCTAATAACGTATTGTATGGTGACTAATGCTCACAGAACGTTTATAAAGCTTCGGTGTCTTTATCAGGAGCTGTGAGGTTGTGATCAAGGGTCTTACTTGCCAGATTTCTTAACGATGGGTTGGGCTTGTGAGAAGAAAA